ATTTTACAATTAAACTTTAAAACATATTGCAGCTTCTTAAAAATGTGGTAATAGAGCTGAGGTGGAGCAAATAACTTCTTAAAAATCTACAATTAAAATTATTAATAAGTATTTTTTCCCAAATTTCATGCAATAGGATTCTTAGGATATGTTTCGGACAGCTTTCTGTTTACTTAAAGTTTCAAACTGCAGCTACAGTTCCGTTTGGGGAACAATTTTCTTATTATTTTCTTGAAATTTCTTTGACGGGATGCTGTTTTTTTCAACATGATCTGTTAAAGTACAGAGGTTGTAAGAGATATGTGTGATTTTTTGAAAAAAATATGCACTTATAATTTCTAGTGTAACTTTCTAAGAAGTTGGTTTCTTCCCCCACAACTTTACAACCACATTTTTCAAAAGTTGCAGCTGCCCAAAACAAACCCTTACAACTATTGTTATTCTGCAGGTAAATTTGAAAAAAATAGTTTCCCACAACATAATTTTTCAGAAAGTAGCTTCCCAAACGAAGCTATGGTGGCTATCTAAAATGCAAAGTAGATAGAAAGCTATCCCAAGCAGACCCAAAATCTATTACTTCTATATGAGAAATCATATTCCATTATTCAAACTTTATTACGTTTTATTAGTTTATCTTTTTCAACTATGGGGTGCAATACCATTCATAATTTTAACTCATACTAGCACAGCTATTTTAAATAGATAAGACGCTATAATATTTTTAATTTCATTTTTTTTGTGAAAATAATATTCTGTCTTATGTGTAGTTCTCTTAACTTATTTGTTTCTAAGTGATTTTCGTACATTCCTACAACACAAACTTCTCTCGCTTGTCATAAGTTTTCTAACATGTGCAACAATTCTTGTACAACTTATGACTTATGTTCTTAAAAGTAAATGATAAATGAAGATGCTTATTACATTATAATATAACATATTCATTGATATTTTCTATTTTTCTTTAAGATATTGATTACTTTTTATGTGATTTTATTTTTTTCTAATTAAGCTATGATTAAATCTTATTAATTATTTAGTTGCAAAAGTTTTTAATATAAGAAACATCAATCATATTTTATATTAGCATGTTTACATATAAAAATGGACTCATAAAGCAAATTATTTTATTTTTCAAGCACATAAAGCTTGTTTTTTTATTAAGGTATATGAGTAAATATAGAGTTACCTTAAGTGCCTTCCAATATTTCAGTCCTGGGAAATTAATAGGCACTGAACAAATTGCAGAAATAACGTATGAGTAATCCGTGAGAAGCATCTCCATCAGCCAATCATCCTTTCTTATACTTAATGTGTTCATGGTCATTATTTGAAGGGAATACTGCAACATCATATAATGTGGCTTAAAATCTACCTCAATGCAAATAACAAAGACTGTTACCATTAAGACACCCTGTATAAAGTTAGGTCCTTGCATAACATTCATATAGAATAGTTTTTATCTATTCTAAAATCTAATGCCTAAAGTTTGATACTTATATTTATGACACATCAGTGTTATAAACTTATACATGAAGATATATTTCACTTTTGAATGATTCAAGTCCTTCACCATGATTAAACATACAATAATATAGAAGATTATGCCATGATCCAAATCAAATTACTTCAATGCCATAATATTGGAATATATATAGAAAAAAAAACTTAACTTAATGTAAATTATGACAAAAGTAATATCTTTAGTCATATGTTTTTAAATTTTAATAAAAAAATTATGAAATATATGACTATTAAATATAATAAATTTTTTTAATACAAATAATTATAAAGTCATCTTTTATCATAAACAAAAAACCAAAGCTTTTTCATGCATCGACATTCTTAAGAAGCTGAAATCTACCTTAACAGACTCTTCTTTGGCTGATATAATACTGCCGTTCTTCCAAGAATTCACAATACATGAAGCCAAATAATCTGCATCTGCTAAAAAAACAGTCTGCAATCTCTTCATGCACAAGAACTTCAAATAAACAGATCTCAATCTCTTATGGCTTTCTCCACTCAAAAATGCTATTGATTCTCTGCCGAAAAGCCCTTGAAAGGTTGGCAACCATGCTGTGGCAAACAACTTTCCCTCATTATTTTGCACAAATCGATTAAACTCTACGTTAGCTGATACTATGGCTTCTCTTGCCATCAAATTTGACGAGAATATTTTCCCATACCTATAATTCCAATCACTGCTCCTCATCAATACAATCATAAATATATAAAGCATGCATGTTGTAAGCTTTTTATAATGATTTTATACCTTGAGATGCGATCTTCCATGAAGTGTCCCACAGAGTTGGATTGATGAGGCTTCAGAAAAGATAGGGTTTCCCCAATTAGAGGCAACCATCTATTTCCAGGAGGAAAGGCATTGGAGGGCTTTGTCTTGGTGGTTAGCCATAAGATGAGAATGAAGATAGCTATAGAGGGGATTAGAACAAGTGTTGAATTCAACTCTACCATGTCGAAAGAGTGAGTATATGTCTCAACAAGGACTCATTTATATAGTTCATCAAATGTGTGTGTTTGTAATTCAATCATGCTTTGTCCGTGGAGTCATAGTTCAAGGGAAGAATGAAGAATAATTGATAAAGAAAAGGATTATTTCTTCCATTAGATATTTATATTTGGTGTCCTTGATATGTTAAATGTTAATTAAGATTTTGATTTGGAATATTGTTTAATGGGTCTGCCTAAGGCTTCCCAGTTGTTGTATTTGGAACTGTGTTTGGTGGGTTTCCATATTGTTGAAAACTCTTTCTTTTATCTTGAAGTTCATGGTTGACCCTATCAATTGATAGTGGAACACAACCATTCTTTTCTGCTAAAATTTGTATCATTCTAGCTGGAAATAAAGTGAGAAAATCTCAAAGAAGTCATTTTTGAGCGGTCATCTTCTCTAACAAAAAATCTTCACTTTATGTAAGAGACTTGGTCAATCTCAAGAAGATGCCCTGCTTGATGACTCCTCCTTCCTGAGCTCATTCCTCTTCACGAGCTTGACATGGGTACTTGCCCTTCATGATGACATGGAATATCATGGAGTGTTTTAAGGTTTAGGTAAAGCATAAGTGGATGAGGAAAACATGACATTGATCAATTAACTATTACTTCAATTTAAAAAGCTTGCATAAAGTTAATAAATTGAAATAATATTAAACATGATTAAATATAACAAGTCGAGGGTACTTCAAAATTGAAGTTTAGTTGTTAGATATGTAAATACTTCGGAATAGAGTGGTGTGTATGCAAACTTCTCTTTTTTTTTCTTAACAATTTATATTCACAATAAAAATTTCAAATTGAAGGTTTAAATTTTGACTTGAACACAATTTTAACTTTAATCTTCAATAATAAGTGCTTATGCACAAAGTTAATCTCTAAGTGCAAACATAAAGTTACCTTAAATTGATGCTTTTATTAATTTTTTTTTTATTAAAGTATTATTTTCTATTTTGATTAAAATGATGGCTAGACTATGAGCATTGTATAGTAATTACTGATGCAACCTAGAATGCAATGCACAATGAAATGACATAAAGAAACTCCAATCTATTGGTAACCAACTATTAACTTAAGGAAAAATCAGCCACTTATTATGTAAAAGTACTTATAATCTTCTATCATTTAAAAATACTATAGTTTATAATGAATAAAATTTGAAATTTCATAGGAAAGATTATGATTGTATAGAAAATTTTAACAACATTTAAGCTTACATAATATGTTTGTTCGCCCTAAAAAAAGAGGCTAGTTTTATCCCCAAGTTTCATTAATGTTCATGCTCTTAACTATTATTTTCTCTTCATAAGTGAGAATCTGAGTATCTGCATCATTAGACACCTCTATTTATTTACATCACTATCCATTATTCAAGTAAGAATTACAATTTTGTATAAACTACAAAGCATAAGATTTTTCAAAATAGTAATAATAATAATAATAATAAAGCTTTTGTTGAAAACTAATTAGCTTGGTTTTACAAATTTTAATTCTCACTAAATGGTGGAGTATGATAGGAACATATAATATAAAACAATTACTTATAGTAATTCAAGTAGATAATAAAAAACTTCTCTACTTCTTTTATTGGTATAAATATTTTGTAAGTAATTTTTAGGATGATGCCATCAAATTAAAGTTGATATTAACACTAAGAAGGTGAGTCAATGTTTTTTTTTTTTTTTATAAAAAAAATTATTTTAAAGGTTCTATTAGATGATTGGATCAATGCATCATGATAACTATAAAATAAAAAAATATTTTAAAGGTTCTATAGATGATTGGATCAATGCATCATGATAACTATAAAATAATGAGGTTGAAAATTATTAAATTTACTTTTGAACTGTTAAATATAAATTCTTCATAAATGTTTTTAATATCAAAGAAAATTACTTAGATTATTAGGCACCAAAACAATCTTTTTCTTTAACCTAATTGATTAACATGTCACATGTTTTAGCTGTTTTTTTTCTTAATTATTTGATTAATAGATAGAATTTGGCATGATAATTATCAATATGACGACATTTCATTTTGTATTATCTCACTAAAATTTTATGTAACTTGTTAATTAGGATAACTTCAAAATTAATCCTTTTCTTTGATGTCCAACTGAGCCCCATGCATGGGATTTACACTATCCTTTTGTCTTCAATATGGTATCATGAAATTTGAAGAAAGTTGTAACGTTTTTGAGTCCAAAACATCATGAATCCATTGATACCTCACTTCAGTATGCTTCAAATGTGAGTTAAGTGTGAAATTCTTGCTTAAATGAATTACACTATAACTATCACAATATAAGATAAACTTATCTTATGTATGATCGAACCCTTGTAGGAAACTCTTCACTCATAAGAATTCTTTGCAAGCATTTTTGACCCCAATATACTCAACTTCTATAGTTGACAAGCCAAACACTTCTATAGTTTATATTGCCATGAAATTGTTCCCTACCAAAAGTAATCAGGTATCCTAGAGAGGACTTCTTAAAGCCAACATCACATAGCATATCTACATCTATGTAAACTTCTAAAATAGAATTTCCATTTTTAAAATATACACACTTTCAAACAACCTTTGAAATATTTAAAAATTCACTTAACTGCTACCCAATGCTCTTTTTCCCAAATTGAAAAGAAACTGACTAACATACCAATTACATCAACAAGATCCGACATCATACATATATAGTAAAATCAAGTTATCCACTGCAGAGGCATAGGACATATTCTTGGTTTCTTGCTTCTCATTCTCATTTGTAGGGCATTTCTGAGTGCTAAGCTTAAACTAACCGGCAAGTGGAGATAAGTAAATACATAAATTGGTATTATGATATCGATATTCTTGATGTGATACTAAAGTTTTTAGTGTTTTGTTTGTAAATATGAAAGTTTATGTTTGAGATAAGTAAATACATAAGAGTTGTATGCTACGCAAGCAAATGCTCCTTTTTTATAGGCAAATTGAAACACCTAACACACAATTCTTATGTTTTATGTATCTCACAACTAAGTTTTTAAGGATGTGCTTGGGGCAGCTGATTGCCTGAGGCGGTGTTTTGAAAATGTCACATACCCGTTTGTTTAAGGCGTTTGGGCGGCGTTTTCCAAACACTGTCTTTTTTTTTCTTTAATAAACGTGGCCGCGAGATCGACCATGCTTCTTGCATTCTTTTGTTGATTATTACACACCTGACCTTGTTTCTCGTCTCATCTGTCCTAGTGCGATCCTCCTCTGGTTCTCCCGTTCTCGTCTCGTCTCGTCTTCCTGATCCTTTTCCTCTCATCCTCTCACTCATTTTCAACGGCGTTTTGAAAATGTCGCCTACCCGTTTGTTGGCTTGGATTGGCCATGCGACCCATTCTTGTTATTGTACCTATGTTCGGGCGGCGTTTTCCAAAAGCAGACTTTTTTTTCTTTAATAAACGCGGCTGAGGGATCGACCTAGCGGTTCACGTTCATTTGCTGATTATTACCAACCTGCCCTTGGTTTTTCGTCTCGTCTGCCCTAGCGTGATCCTCCTCTAGTTCTCTCTTTCTAGTCTTGTCTCATCTCCTAGCTCCTTCGCCTCTCATCCTCTCACTCATTACTCCTCTCTCTGATCTCTACAAAACTATAGATCTGTAAGTATGGAATGGTTTTCGTATGGATGGAATGGTTTTTGTAGTAGGCGTTCCTTCGACTGATATGGATTTCATTGGGTTATGTTGGCTTTCGTATTTTTGGCTTTATGCATTCTACTGGATTTTTTATTAAGTTTGGCATTCAATATGGGTTTTCACCCCTTCTCTGCTTCTCCTTCTCCAATTCTTCATAATTTGCGATTTATTTGGATTTTGGTTTAGAATGGTGTAAGTTACGTATATTGTTTTTGTTGGCTTGGATTGGCCATGCGACCCATTCTTGTTATTGCACCTAAATTTTTTTTTAGCTCGAGGGGGCTGCACTTGCAGTTGAACTAGCCTTTTTTTACGTATTGTTTCTATATGTATTGAGATGTTTATCCTCATTCAAAAACTACAGTGGAAGTGTTTGGTGCTTTACGGTGGAAGTGAATCATGTCTATTACAATGGAAGTGAGTTTTGGCTGTCCTCTTTATTTCATTTCTTTACAAAAGTGGAAGTGAATATTGTGCATATGTTTCACTGTGACAGTGAAATTTGGCAATGCATAATACACACATTTTGGTTTTGTTGAAGGCTAAAGGTTTTGTTGAAGGCTAAAGTGCATCTGTTTCACTGTGGCCAAGCATGCCACAGGTGGTTCTCAGTTTTGCTAAAAGGCATGGTTGGGAAGGTTTGGTGAATTCTATAGTGGGTGGTTTTCGGTTTTAGTAAAGTGCATGCTTGGGAAGGTTTGGTGAATTTTGTTTTGGGTGGTTTTCGGTTTGGTAAATTGCATGAACATGTTGATATGTTAAATGATTCACCATAATAAGAAGCAAACTTTATCTTTTTTTTTTTCTTTTTTATTCGATTTCTTGATACTCACTCTTAAATGAGGTGTATATCCTTTTATTGTATTGTTATGAAGTGATTCTTTTTTGTTATAAACTATCAAATGTATAGCTGTTACAACTACGTCGCAAAGAACACAACTGCGTCGAGGCAGAATAATCATTTATCCAGAAACAGCTGCAAACCAACTGTTTTCCAAACGTATAAAACAAAAAGTTATACAACTTATCTATATCAGGGGCAGAATAGTCATTTATTCAGAAAAACTGTAAATAAGTTGTTTTCCAACACACAAACCAAACAGCTACCCAGATTATCTGGATTAGCTGCTAGTCAATAGCTTATCATGATAAACTGCAGTTGCCCCAAACAGACGCTAAATTTACATACATGACACTTTGGTGTTTTAAACATATGAATGAAAATGTTTATTTCACTTTCTTAATAATGGTAATAGTGTTATTTCCAATGTAATAATAAAATTTGGAGAACTATGTTAAAATATCAAAATTTAGGTTTGAGATATGTAACTGCATAAGAATTGTGTGATATGAATATAAATTCCTCTTTATATATACATGACACTTTGGTGCTTTGAAGATATGCACAAAAATTTGTATTTCTCTTTTAAAAATTAGTATGTTTTATGTTTTTTTATATGATATTGAAGTTTTGATTATTATGTGTGTAAATATAAAACTTTAGGTTTGAGATATATAAATACATATGAAATGTATGCTATGCTTGTAAATGCCCCTTTTTAATTGCAAATTCACATACCTAACACACAATTCTTATGCATTTATGTATCTCACAATTAAACTTTTGTATTTATATACTTGACACTTCAGTTCCTTAAATCTTTGCATGAAAATGTGCATTTCACTTTTAAAAAGTGATAATAGCGATGTTTTTTTATATGAAATTTAATTTGACTTATTAATTATGATGAAGTATTGTTTAGAGTATTGACGAAAAGAGTGAAATGAGAGAACTTTGATGTTTTGTCTTATAGTTTTCAGGCTTTTTATTTTTTGATAAGGCAGACGACACATGTTCAACCCTCGACATTTGAAATGCCAGCATTTAGTAGTGTAATGACAACATTTAGGAGTTTCGTTGATTTATTAATCAACATTTGAGAAACTTAGCCACATCATCAAATGTAATATCTTTCATTTTCATTCTTCTAATCTTTTCATCTATATTTTATTCTTTTATACTGCGCTCTTTTGCAAACAGTACTTCCTTGTAGATATATGTTATATATAGATATTCATATATCAAGGTTATAGATGTACAATAAGTTATATTAAGATAAGAAAAAGAAACATTGATGAGTTCTTGAACAGTGTTGAGACTTTTATACAACATGTCAACTTCCGACTTACCTATATGAGGGTAGGTTTTAGTGTTCACAATCGAAACATAGGAATAAAGCACAATTAATGCATGATAATGTGAGGTATGATTTATAACATGAGATATTTCAACCTAAAGTATTTGGGGTGGCTGGCCATTCCTTTTAATATATATATTGATTGCAAGAATTTGTACAATATAAGACTTTGTCTAAAATGACATGTTTGAAAAGAAAATCATTCCTTGAACCCTTATGAAAGCAACATACCATTTATAGACAATAATACATAGTGCCAAGCATCATAAGACAATATTCATGACTTACTGATATATAACAATAATACATATAACACATGTAAATTAAGTTGTTATTGCTAATCATTTAATATTTGAGTAGCATGAACCCTAAGTGGCAAGCCCTTTGGAAATTCAAGATAAGGAAGATGCATGGGATGATCTTTATTAGCAATCTCCCACTCATAGTTAAGAATGGCGTGATGAAGAAAGATGACCATTTCTAATCTTACAAGATTTTCTCCTGGGCACATTCTTGCACCACCACCAAATGGCATGTAACCCTTCTTAGTTTTGTCACAATTTGGGCCCTAAAGTTAAAAGAACAAATTACAAATGTTATAATTTTAAATTGTTAGTTGCAATTTGTTGAAGATGCGTGCAGAAAGATAGTGAAGTTATATCCTCACCATCCATCTCCATGGATTAAAGTCCATGGGGTTGTCATGAATTGAAGGATCTAAATGTGCTGCACCCATGTGGACTACTACAAGGTTACCTCTTGGGATAACAAAACCTACAAAAAAAAAAAGTGATTTATATTTTATAAAATAACAAAAATTGAATAACTTTGAGTTATATTCTCACATTTTATAAATTTAAAATACATAATAAAGTTTAAACTTGCACTTCCTTAATTATGATTTGATATCTTTTTTTTTAAATTATATATTTTTAGATCATACTTTTTGGAAAAAAAAAAAGAAAAAAAAAGGAAAAATTTATATACAAAGTTTGTAATTCTTATGAATTACACATCTTACATCTTGTAAATGTCCCAAAAAATGTGAGTATTTAATGACATAAATAAATAATAAAATATATATTTTTAATAAATTGTTATTAAAAATGTCACTTTTTAATTGTGATTATTAACAAGTTGACTAATAGATCAAAACATATTTTTGTAAAATTTTGATTAAATAATAGTATTTAATAACAAGTATTTTTTTGTCACTTCATCATAAGTCTCCATTATGAAAAATTATGATAAATAACTTTAAAAATGTTGGTAAAACATATATAGAAATTTAAAATGTATGTATTAATGCATATAATATTCAGTGATACATTTTTCAAAGTTAAAACTATGTCCCAACATTATAATAAGATAATGAAACTTTGTGTGTATTAAATACTAATTAATACTTACTATTAACAAAACAAACCTTTATACTTGACCTCTTCAGCTGTCTTCCTGGGAATGAAAGGAGCAACATTGCTGAGCCGCAGGGTCTCATTAACAACCTTAATAAATATCATATTAATAAGTTTATTTAGTGTTATTATTTTCTTTAAATTATATTAAATAAAGAAATAATAAACACAAGAAAAAATATTATGACTTACACATTTGCTGAACTCCATATTTTTGTAATCTTCCCATGACAGTTTGCTGTCTAAATTTGGCTTGGATTTGACAATTTGAAGGTGCTCTGTCTGAAGGAAATCATCTGAACTGAGCAAATTCTTCAAAGAGAAATGAATTAAAAATTTCAAATATAATTACCTGCAGCCTTCTAACAACTTGTGGAGAATCTGCAAGGAGGTAGAGCATGAAAGCGATTGCCCTTGAAGTAGAATCATGTCCAGCAAAAATGGAACCAAAAATGAAGTCCTCAATAACTTCATTGGAGAATTCGGCTCTTTTCATAAGCAGCAAGTCAAGTAAATCATAGTCTGATTTGGTCCTTCCATCAGCTTTGAGATGATTTTCAGCTTCTTCTTTGCCATCTTCAATATCTTTAGACATTAATGTAATCCTGTCTTTCATCATTTTCCTCAAAATATTCAAGATATTTCTCCTCGCCTTCAAAAAATCAAAATGAATCTACACTTGTCATGTAATACTGAATAAAATAAATAATTTTTTTTCTGATCGCATGCAACAATTAAATTTTTATTTGACAATTAAACTTTAAAACATATAAAAGATATATTTGGGGTGGACGTGGCTTTTTGAAAATATGGTTGTAGAGCTGCGGTGGAGAAAACAACTTCTTAAAAAACTAGAGTGAAAATTATAAATATATACTTTTTTCCAAAATTTTAGATAGCTGGTTTCTTAGGGTATGTTTGGGACAGCTTACTGTCTAATTTGCATTTCGGACCACCACCACAGCTATGTTTTGGGAACTATTTTCTTATTATTTTCTAGAAATTTCTGTGATAAGATGTTGTTTTTTTTTTTTCAAAATGATCTGTTAAAGTATGGTGGTTGTTAGAAAATTGATGTCGGATTTTTTAAAAAAAAGTATATATATAGGGTTTCTTATATGATATATATGATCTATTAAAGTTCTAAAATGTTGGTTTCTTCGCCACAACTTTACAACCAGATTTTTCAAAAGTTGCAACTACCCAAAACAAACCCTTATACAAAATTTTGCAGGTCAGGTTGAAAAAAATAGCTTTCCACCACATAAATTTTTAGAAAGCAGCATCCCAAAGAGAGGTCCGGTGGATGTCTGAAATGCAAAGTAGGTAGAAAACTATCACAAACAAACCCAGAGTCTAATACTTCTATTTGAGAAGTCATCTTTCACTATTCAAGTTTATTACATTTTATTAATTCTATCTTCTTCAACTATGGGGAATGGTACCATTCACAATTTTTAACTCATACTAGTACAACTACTTAAAATAGATAAGACATGATATTATTTTTATTTTCATTCTTTTTGTTGGTGAAAATAAAATTCTATATAATGTGTATTTCTATAAGTTTTATAGCTTGTGCAACACTTCTTGTATAACTTATGAACAATGTTCTTGAACCTAAATGACAAATGAACATATTTAAAACGTTATAATATAAACTATATTATCTATTTTTCTTTAAAATATTGATTACTTTTATGTGATTTTAATTTTGTTCTTATT